AGAGCTCGGCTGCTACCCAAAAGGTCAGCAGTTCGAATCCACCAGCTGCTCCTCGGAAACGCTGTAAGGGAAGATCTACCCTGTCCTATGGGGTCGCCATCGACTCGACGGCAATAGGTTTTTGGTTTTTCGGGTACAATCGCCATCTGATGTTCAAACTCACTATGGGTTAAAGGCAAACCCCTTTTTCCTTGCAATTACAACACCAGGTCCACAGTTTTAAAACAGAAACTTTTGGAGCCAGGTGGGTTCCGGAATTCAGAATTTTTCAGGTTTTTTTGTTGTTGTTGTTGTTGTAAGAAATATATATAACACCACATTTGCCAATTCAACATTTTTCAACTTAGTGACCTTTTGGTTGGCAGCTGTAGCATGCCATACCCACAATTTAGTGATATCAGTTACATTAATCATGTTATGTAACCACCACCCAGCACCGTTGCCAATTTCCCATCACCATAAGCAAACAATTTTTTGATTTTAGAGGAATGTGTATACAGTGTATAATACCCGACACCTTAAACAAAGTAATCACACATATTAATAGCTCTGCAGTGAAACAAACAAGCATTCACATTTAGTGGGATGGATACAAACTTCTCACCCTTATGATGGTTGGATCTGAAATGATTTCACTGTCAAATTAGTTACAAAAAAACTTTTAATTTTCAGAGACTTTTTTCATATTTTTAAAAAATTTTATTTATTTTGTTGGTGAGAATATACAAAGTAATTCAACAATTTCTACACGTACAATTTAGTGACATTGATTACATGGTTGAGTTGGGCAACCATTCTCACCTTCCTTTTCTGAGTTGTTCCTCCCCCCTTAACATAAACTCACTGCCCCGTAAGCTTCCCATCTAATCTTTCAAGTTGCTGTTGTCAGTTGGATCCCATGTAGATAGGTCTTCAAACAGCACAATGCTCACTAAAAACCAAAAACCAAACCCCTTGCCATCGAGTCGATTCCAACTCATAGCGATCCTACAGGACAGAGTAGAACTGTCCCATAGGGTTTCGAAGGAGCACCTTTTGGTTAGCAGCCGAACTCTTAACCACTATGCCACCAGGGCTTCCAAAACTAAGTAAGCTAAACTACTGTTTGGTTTAAAGAAGACTTGAGGGGATATTTCTGGTTTAAGGTTTAAAGATTATCTCAGGGCAATAGTTTTAGGGGTTCGTCTAGTCTCTATGGCTCCAGAAAGTCTGCAGCCCATGAGAATTTGAATTTTTTTAAAGAAATTATTATTCTAGGCAAAGGACTGTTGACCTGCCTTTTTGCAGGCAGGACTTGGAAAGCAGTGGTACAGGAAGTCAGGCACTGTAAACGCCTGCCCGTGTTGACTGTCCCTAGAGGCAAGCCACTTGAACTTACACAGCCCTGGAGTTTCCTCATAGGCAAATGAGGTGACAGGTAGGGGACACAGGGCACCGTTGCCCAATGACCCAGGTTGCATAAGCTGGGACAGGCTCCAGCAAAAGGGCAGAGCTGTGTGGTAACCTGGAATGGAGGCTGAGAACAGAGTAGAAGGGACAGTCTTCACACCTCCTCTATGTCCTAGCTTCACACCTTCTGTGTACTAGCAGCTACTTCTCACCTTCCCCAAGTCAGCGCTTCTCAACAGGGGGCCAGTTCTGCCCTCCAGGCAACACTGAGCAATGTCTGCAGTCAATTCTGGATCTCACAACCTGGCGGGGGCCGGGGGGGGGGTGTTAGTGGCATCTAGAGGGTAGAGACCAGGGATGCTGCTCCACACCCTACAGTGCACAGGGCAGCCCCCACCACCACAGAGAAACATCCAGCCCAAAGGTCAACAGTGATGGGTTTAAGAAGCCCTTCCTTAGCATGAGAGACGGTCAACTGTCTATCTGTCTATCTTCCTGCCTACCTATCATCTATTTACCTATCCATCCATCCATCCACCCATCCATCCATCCATCTCTATGTCCAAACCAAAACAAATTCACTGCCAAGTTGATTCCGGCTCATAGTGACCCCACAGGGTTTCCAAGACTGTAAATCTCCAAGGAAGCAGAGTGCTACATCTTTCTCCCTCAGAGCTGCTGATGGTTTTGAGCCACCAAACTTTTGGTTAGCAGTAGATCGTTTTAACCACTGTGCCACCATCTATTGATCCATCCATTTATCTATCATCTATCCTTCTATCTATCCATTCATCTACCATTTATCTATCCATCTATCTATTCATCTATCATCTAACCATCCATCAATTTATCTATCCTCTATCCGTAAATTATCTATCCATCCATCCACCCACCCACCCACCAATCCATCCATATCTATGTATTTTTCTATGCATCATCTATCCATCCATCATCTATCCATCCATCCATTTATCTATTATCTATCCATCCATCCATTTACTTATCTATCATCTATCCATCCATCCATTTATCTGTCTATCATCTATCCATCCATCCGTCTAGAACCTATAACAGCTGCCCTGCACTGGGGTTGCTTCTGCTCCCAGGGGACACTTGGCAATGTGTGGAGTCCGTTCTGATTGCCACAAGTGGGGAATAGGGGGTGCTACTGGCACCTAGTGGGTGGAGACCAGGGACACTGCTCAACACCCCCAATGCCCAGGAGAGTCCCCACCAAAGAGAACGTCTGCCCCAAATGTCAACAGTGTCACAGCTGAGAAATCCTGGGGTAGACAAACTAAATGCAAAGGAAGACCTCACAGCATCCCCTACCCCCTTCCCATCATCAATCTCTGGAGAAGAAATCTCCCAATCCTAGAACCACCCAGAGGAACTCCAAACTCCACACCACCTCTGTCTCCCTACAGGCTTTTAGCCCCGCTCCCGTTCATTGGCGCTGCTGCTCGCCAGCCAGTGCCAAGTCCTCGCCCTGCACCTCCTGCTCCTGAGACGCATGTAATTATTATTGACCTTGGCACCTGGAGTATTTACACCGAGCATTGTGCTCCATCTTTGACACCACTGGAGGTAACACTGGCCTTCTGTTCTGTCTTCGTCATATTGTCTATTACCTGTATCCTAGGGCCTGCAGTAGGCTGGCTGACTCACTAACTGAGTTTTATAAGAGTTAATTTCCAAACAAGGCAGGAATATCAGTGTAGGGACAAGGTAGAAACAAAACAATGGAGGGGGAGACTGATCTGCAGAACTTGTGTGACTGTCACCCACAAACGTTTCATGCCCATTTAATTCAGCCATTTAAGGCATGCCTGGCATCGACTGCTGAGATCTGCCATGCAAATAGGAGCCTTTATATCTTTTTGCAGGCACTGAAAGCTTTCACGTTTCAGGATCCACCTATCATCAGTTGTTAAGAGGAGCCCCGCTGGTTCAGTGCTTAAGCACTTGGCTGCTAAACAAAAGGCTGGCAGTTCAAGTCCACCCAGAGGCACCCTGGAAGAAAGGCCTGGTGATCCAGTTCCAGAAAATCAGCCACTGAAAATCCTATGGAGCACAGTTCTACTCTGACACACATGGGGTCACCATGAGTCTGAATCAACTCTACAGAAGTGGTTTTAAGCAAGAACTGGGCATCTTAATATATTATAGTCATCCGTTCGTATGGTTACCCATAGACAATTACATACATTTCCTAGCCTCTCCTTTTGGAAAACAAATTACACATTTGACTGGTTCATAGTTGGTAGATGCTGTATGGTACACAGGTCACACTGTACTGGAGGCTCATTTCCTGTAATTAATGAAAATTTTCAGAACAGACTAGTTGCTTTCTCAACTCCACACTCAGTCCTTAGGTAACCAGTTCCTTTACAGAGGTAATCTGCATAGCCAAACACAGTCTTAAAAAGTCAGAGTGATACCCACCACATCCTACAACAAAGCCAACAAACCTCCTTAAGAAACGTTTGACCCAATGGTTCTAAGAATAAACCCAGCAACCCATGTGTGTGCCCCTCAACTATGGAGCAATCCATGCTCTTTTTTCATTTCTCAGGATATAAATTCAAGGTGCACATGACAGATTTTTAAATCTGCATTTAAAATTTTTAAATTTTTTTAAAGCCTAAAAAGTTTTAAAAGTTTCAAAAAGTACAACTACTGCTAATTCCTTCTCAAATGTATCTTTTTTTTTTTTTTTAAGAAAAGTAATATATAGTAAGCTTCAAATAACACCAATTTTTCATGGAAAACATTTGATGGCACACATATTTTATTATATATTCACTGTATCGTGAAATGATTATTAATCTAATTCAGAAGTAGTGGTTCCAATATTTTGATATGTCAGGTGAATGAATTCCATTTCTCTTTTGAGGACGCTACAGCAGAGAGTACAGGTCTTTACTTTTCGTTTTCTTTTAGGCTTCTTCCTCCTAAACTAAAACCCAAACCCGCTGCTGTTGAATCGGTTCCAACGCAAAGCAACCCTACAGGACAGAGTAGAACTGCCCCACAGGGTTTCCAAGGAGCAGCTGGTGGATTTGAACTGCCAACCTTTTGGTTAACAGCTGAGCTCTTAACTACTGCACCACGAGGGTTCCTCATTCTCCTCAGCTCTCCATTATTCTCTTTACCCAGCTCGTGTTTTCAAACCACCACTTCAGAAAGAAAGAAAGACAATTTGGCCATTACGTCTGTCTCCCTAATGACCAGCTCCTTACAGGGCAAATGGACAAATGAAAACATATTAGGTAAATTGTTCTAGCTGGTGTAAACAGATATTTTTAATGTAACACTACAGGGAAAAATGTACAAACTTTCTTTTGTCCTGCAGATGGTACTTCCAACATCTAACTTCCCCCAGCTAAGACTTAGCTCTCAACTTCTTTAATTAACTCTTCCCCAGCCTGCTAGTTAGCTACTCCAGAAAGCGAAAGAAAGAAATAGAAGCCTTTACAGTTCCTTTGAAGTCGTGCAGCTAAAGTAAATATTCCCACCGGCTGTTTCCTGCCATCATTTATCTCAATATCTTAGCAGCCAAGGAGTAGAAAAATTAATCCAAGTCAAGTAGAAAAATTCATCCAACTCACCAGTTCTCAGGAGGCTTTCAGACAAGGCTTGCCACCAGGAGGCTCAGACACTCTCTAGAGTCCCTCCAAGGATCTCAACCAGCTTTTCAAATAATGACGTTGGCCAACAGCTGGCCCAATGAATAATCATTTGATAGCCCGGGCAGTTATGCTGGATCGTCATTACTGGCGTTAAAGTCATGCCTGGGTAATGGGCAAATCCTATCATAAAAAAGTTATTCAACTGTCTGCAAACGGGTGTGTGCCCGTCCGGTCTTTCCCCCACGCCTCACGTGCCTCTGATATAGATCTGAGGGAAGCTGGACTTCCTTATCTGAATAATCACACAGCAGCAGCTGAGTGTATCAGTTCCAAATTCTCACAATCCTTATGAACACGTTGGCACCATAAAGTGTCTGCTCGAAGCATTTCGTGGGTGCACCGAATTTCACATTACACGGTGCAAAGCAAGGGGATGGACCGCGTGCTTATGAGGAGAGGGAGACTATATACAACGGGGTGCCGGCCAGTCTCGGGTGTTCATTGCTTTCCCATTAATGGGAACATGGGACGTAGGTTAGGTTGGCAATAGCAGGAATGATCTTTCTGAATGATATGCTGACAGCCCAGTGCCTATGAGCCCTGCGAGCCGGTTTGTTGAGTTACGGGAACAGATACAGCACAGAGCGCCTGAAGGAATTCATTCTCTTTGTCAACAACAGGGGTTATGCGAAGGCCAAGGCCACCAGTCACCTCTGTGGGCGACCGGCAGGGAGGTGTCCTCAAGGATGCAGAGGAAAGAAACAGCCAGCCAGTTGCTGCCTTTGCCCCGCCCCCCGCCCAGGGGAAATCACACCCCAGAAGGAATAACTCCGAGTTTCTCGTTTATGTTTTCCCTTGCGCGGTTCATTTTATTTTATTTGGAGGAGCCAAAACAAAAGTAAAGCCTAATTCTGAGCCCTTGTTTTCATTATTCCGCATCTATAAATAAAACATGACTGCTTTTTAATTATTCCATGTGCCTCCCGGCTCTCAGCAGGCACTCAAATAATTAATTCACAATGTAGCAGATGTGAACATATTTTCCATTCTTAATGGTTACCCAGGATGATGGGGCACTGAAATCTTTAAAAAAAAAAAAAAGTTTCACCATGAATAAGCAGGATTGCGATAGAACCAAAAGGCACTGTTTGTTCTCCCAGTGTTTTTATGCCAGTTATTCATTGGAAGGGTGTTTTCTAGCAGCTACTGGCAGAAATTCCAGTCCCCTCCGTGATGCTGGGGTTACTGCGCAGATTACATCTCACAGTTAAATGCTAGAACTAGCGCTCTGACGGTTTAATTCCTAAGGAAGACTGCTTCCTCGCCTCCCGCCAGCCCCCAGCTAAGTGGGGTCCTGAGGAGTCCTGGAAGGGAAGGCAGAAGGACGCTTCTGGTTTTCTCACCTGCCCCCCACCCCAGCTGCTGTTACTGGCCCCCCTCTGCCCCATGCAGAGAGTGGGGGGAGGTCGGTGGAGAAGGATAAAAGGGGGCAGAAAAGCTGCTCTCCTCCCACCCCACCCTGTACTGTTGTGAGGTGGCTTCAGGCAGATGGGAAGCTGACCCCTCCGCTGAGAAATTCATGGGAGCCCTCCCACCTACCTGCACCTACACTTCCTAACAGGTGGGCAGTGCCTACTCTTCCTCCATGCTGCCCTCCCTGTTGGAGTCCTCTTTTCAGGATCCCAGGAGGTCTTCATGAGCAAAAGTCCAAATGGCTGCAAGCCTTCTCTTCCTCTCTGTTCCCCTCCCAACCCCGCTCACTGGTCATCTGGAAGCACTCTTCCCTCCCCGCCCCCTCTTTTCTTTTTTCCAAACATTCAGTATCTTTGAGAGATTTGCATCCTCTCCCAGCAGAGTCTCCTGGTCAACAGCAACAACAACCAACAGAGCAGTGCGAACAGTTAAGTAGCTGACTGCTCACCAAACATTGGAGATTCGAACACACTGAGAGGCACCTCAGAAGAAAGGCCTGGTGATCTCCTGAAATATCAGCCATTGAAAACCTTATGGAGCACAGTTGTCTCTCACACATGTGTGGTCACCATGAGTTGGGATCCACTAGAAGGCCACCGGTAGAACTGATGGTACCAGCACGGCCTCCAAGCCTGCGGCCCCCTTTGCTTTTTCAGACAGGAGCAGGGTGCCAAGCCCTTGTGCCCCCGTAGGTAGAAAATCATACAGTGAGCTCTTTGAGGAGCTCCGCTGAAATGCCTCAATAGGCTGAGGCGAAGAGAGGTGCAGCAGCCCCTGGGAGGGGGGAGGACTCCAACTTTGAAGAAGTCTCTTTAAAGCCCCTCCCCCTTTCTTTTGTAGCCTTGTAGTGGGGCAAGCGTTCCCCTAGGGTTCTCCTGCTACCTGCATGGAAGATTTCACCAGGCCATCATTTCTTTGAGTCCTTGGGTGGTGCAAACTACATGCTTGGATGCTAATGAAAGGTTGAAGTTTTGAGTCCACCCAAAGGCATCTTAGAAGAAAGGCCTAGTGATCTGCTGCCATAAAGATTACAGCCAAGATGGAACCCACAGCCCCTGGACTCTCTATTAACCCAGAACTAAAACCATTCCCAAAACCAACTCTTCAGACAAAAATTAGACTGGACTATAAAACATAAAATGATACTAGTGAAGAATGTGCTTCTTAGTTCAAGTAGATACATGAGACTAAATGGGCAGCTCCTGTCCAGAGGCGAGATGAGAAGGCAGAAAGGGACAGGAGCTGGTAGAATGCACACGGGAAATCCGGGGTGGAAAGGAGGATTGTGCTGTCATATTATAGAGAGAACAACTAGGGTCACATAACCATGTATGTAAAAATTTTTGTAGGAGAAACTAACTTGAACTGTAAGCTTTCACTTAAAGCGCGCGCGTGTGCGCGCGCGCGCACACACACACACACACACACACAAAGACAACAGCCAAGAAAACCCTATGGGGTAGTTCTAGTCTTGTCATGCGGCAACAACATGGCTGCCCCATTCATTAAAATAACTGCTCTCATGTTCTTTGTTGCTAAAGGTTAAACTTCTTTTGTGCCTCCCATTAGCTACTTTTGGAGTCTCTTGGTAGTACAAATGGTTAATAACACACTCAACTACTAACTGAAAGGTTGGTAGTTCAAATCCACCCAGAGGTGCTGTGGAGGAAAGGCCTGGTGATATACTTTTGAAAAACCAGTCCTTGAAAACCTCATGGAGCACAGTTCTACTCTGACACATATGGGGTTGCCATGTGCTAGAGTTGACTCAACAACACACAAAACCAAGAACAATAATAAATACTCTCACAGAATAATTTATCTTAGTGGAGTGAGTACTTTGTAGTCAGACGTGTGTGAATTCAGTCTTGACTCCAGCACTTGCTAGCTTTTTGACCCTGGAAAAAGACTTAACCTCTAGGAGCCCCAGCTTCATCGCCTGTAAAGCAAGCATACTAATATATTCCTTGCAAGGTTATTGATTCAACATAATGGCCCAGTGCACAAGACCTGGCACGTTACGACATTAGGGCCAATCCCACTTCTGACGCCAACTGTGAAGATAATAATCAATATCAAAGTCAAATCCAATATCACCACGTTTTCTCTTCTCTGACACCAGCCACCCATGTGGGACTTCCTTCTCTGACCATAGCCACCTGGAGCTAGGTTAAAGCTTGCAAGTTAAAAGGACACATCATCCTTCAGTCTGTCAAATAGACAGATACCAGCCGCAAGTTGGGAGTCCCTCTGGGGCTCCCTAACTTTTGACCTGCTGGCTACAGATTCAAGGATTCCCTCTTGTTCCCTTAGGATGCCAGCAGCAAAGGGGTTCCTGGCCCCCCTGACTTCTGACCTGCTGGCTCCCACTACTCCTTTAGGTTCAATAATTCACTGGAACAACTTGTAGAACTCATGGAAAGCAATATACTTACGATTGCAGCTTTATTGTAGGAAAAAAGGATATAAATGAAGAGACGCATTAGGCAAGGTCTGGGAGGGTTCCCAATGTGGAGCTTCCGTGTCCCAAGAAAGGATGTGCTACCCTCCCACACATATCCATGTCTTTCACCAACCAGAGCTATTACTGGAGGTCTCATTCCATAATGCAAACTCCAGCCCCTCTCCTCTGAGGTTGGCTGATGTCACCAGGTGGTCTTTCTGGTCTGACCAGCATCTCTTCCCTGAAGTTAGCTGCTATCAGGAAGTCATCACCAGGTGGGTCTTTCTGGCCTGGCCAGCCCCCACCCCAGATCACCTTACAACCTCATCTGGCCTATTAGTTAGGTGTGGTCTGGAGTCCTTACTGAAGACACTTAAATTCCAAGGGTTATCTCTCAGGAATCAAGGACAAAGGTCAGATTACTTGACATGTAAATAAACCCATTGCCACAGAGTCCATTCCGACTCATAGTGACTCTATAGGACAGAACAGAACTGCCCCATAGGGTTTCCAAGGCTATAATCTTTACAGGAGCAGATTGCCAGGTTTATTTCTCCCTTGGAGCTACCAACCTTTCAGTTAGCAGCTGACTGTTTAACTACCACGCCACCACACGTAAATAGATGCTCCTTTTTGGCAATTTTTAGAGTACAGAAGTGGAAAGACTTCACTTTACGGAAATCTGTAAACAACTATGCTTTGAGGCCATGAGAAGCAGGGACTTTGTCTTACTTATCCCTGTAGGCGCTTAAGGCCTCTGAGTGGAACAAACGGTTTGCACTCAACTATTAACCTAAAGGTTGGCAGTTTGAACCCACCCAGCGGCGCCTCAGAAGAAAGACCCGGTGATCTACTTCCAAAAAATCAGCCATTGAAAACCCTATGCAGTTTGGTTCTACCCGATGCACACGAGGTCACCATGAGTCAGAGCTGACACGACAACAACTGGCTTTTTTCTTTTTTTTGATAAGTGTTTAATGAAATTGTTGAAGGTTGAACCTACCTAATGTTTGCCAATCCAATAGCTGCCTTGATCTCCACAGACACCACACAGGAACCCTTGTGCCTAAATGGGGCATTGCTTCTAACTTTGGACTCAATGCAGGAAGAGCTCGATGGAGAGAATGCTGGAGGAAGTCTCAAGAGTCACGGAAGCAGGGCACCAGAGCAGTCACTCAGGGGTTAGCAAGCAAAGGCTCATTCTTAAGGACTGAACACCCAGTGTGTGAGCAAAGACAAAGGCTTGCTAATTAGAGGCCTGAATCCAGCAACAAGCATCTCAACAAGAACAACATGGCACG